GAGAGAGGGAGAGAGGGAGAGGGAGAGGGAGAGGGAGGGAGAGGGAGAGGGGAGAGAGGGAGAGGGAGAGAGAGAGGGAGAGAGGGAGAGAGAGAGAGAATGCGGTCACAAGGCTGCAGGGACCCAGGACAGGAAGCAACACCTGCTGTGTGAACACTGTCAGCATCAGTGACCTTGCAGGGTCCCGCCCTGCCCAGAAGGGGCGGGGCTAAGACTTACCTTGGCGGAGCAGCAGTGGGCCTCCCTCACACTGAACATCTCCTCAGGCCTACAGATAGGGAGCCAAAGCCCAGGGTGGGCTGCCATGGGCCCTGTGAGGCCCTGGTTAGGGGCCGTCTGAGGGCAGAGAGGGTGATGGGGAGGCTGGCCCAGGCTGTCTGTCCCTGTCTGCTTCTCCAGTCCTCTGCACACTCCCTGAGAGGTGTCCCTAGCCTGTGGCTACACTTATGGCCCACATTGTCCCCAGGGACGCTCCTCATATAGTCACTGGCCACTGGATCCCTATCACTTGTGCCCCAAGGTCCAAAGAAAACTGAACATCCACGCTTGAACCTGTTCCTYTTGCTCCATGCTCTCCCTCCATGACTAATGGCCAAGACCCACAGCCTCGTCTCCACCTCCTCTCTCACCAGTCTCTCCTACCTCCACCGGCCACACCACTAGACCACCGCCTCTGTCCAAGCCAGGGCCCTGGGAAGGGCCCAGCAAGTGCGKTGTGAATGAGGGATAGGTGGATGACAGGTGCATGGATTGATGGATGATGGACGGCTGATGGCTGATGCATGATGCATGGATAGGTGGGTGGATGGTGATTGGTGGACGGACGGATGAAGGATGATGAATGATGAATGATGGATGATGGGTGCATGATGCATTGATTGATGAATGATGGATGGATAGGTGGGTGGATGGGTGATTGGTGGACGGATAGTTGAAGAATGATGAATGATGGATGATGGTTGCATGACGGATGGATTGATGGATGATGGATGGAAGATGGATGGATGATGGATGATGCATGATTCATGAATAGGTGGGTGGATGGATGATTGGTGGATGGATGGATGGATGGATGGATGGATGGATGAAGGATAATGCATGATGGATGATGGATGGATGATAGATGGATTGATGGATGATGGATGGGTTGATGGATGATGGGATGATGCATGGATAGGTGGGTGGATGAATGATAGACGAATGAAGGATGATTTGAATGATGGATGATGGGTAGATGATGGATGATGGATGGATGATGGATGATAGATGGATGGTGGATGATGGATGATTCATGGATAGGTGGGTGGATGAATGATAGATGGGTGAAGGACAATGAGTGGTGGAAGATGGATGGATGATGGATAGATGACGGATGGACAAAAATGGGTGGGTATGTGGAAGAATGAGTTAATGGGTAGATCAGCGATTGAACTGGTGGATGGTTGGATGGGTGGACAGACAAATATAATGGAATAACTGCAAGACTGGGGCTGCAAGACTGGGGTCATTTTACCTGCAGTGCTTTGCTTGGACAGTGCCTGGGCCCTTGACTATGGGCTGAGTTGCACAGGTCACTTCCAGGGAGGGTCCAGAGCTACGGCCATCTCCAGGCACTTGCTTTGAGAGACAGTAAACACTCGGGCTGCAGTAGTTCAAGTCACCAAGGGAAAAAAAAGCCCCCAGGAAGAGAAGGGGGGAAGCAAGGCCACCCGGCCTCGCAGGTGTGCTCCCAGTTCCTGAGATGTCCCTGAGACCTGCTGCACCCTCCCTGAGACCCTCCAGCCCAGGGAAGCTGGCGCAGACAGGTGGGCAGTCATGGACACATGGGGGGTCCCCAGCCTCCAACTCCATCCAGGACCCAGGACCTCCCACCACCTGCCCCACACAACACCCAGGGACACCCAGGAAACAGCACCCAGTGGACTTCGCTTTCTTTTTACAAAGACTTTATTGTCGGACATGCTTGACAAAAAAAAATTACAGCCACAATCGAGCTATGCCAAAATGATTGAGGAGCACACGTCATCTCCATCCCGCGAGGACTTTTAATGAATTTTCTCTTAAAGTAACAGCTGCCGTCATAACTTTTCTTTTCCACATAAAAATACACCATATTCTGAAGGTACCTTAGGAAAAACATTTTTTTTTTAAGTTTATAGTCCTTGGTCCGCATAGAAACTGAGTAGAGATGACATGGGAAGGGCCTTGTGTTTTCTCTACCCTGCACGCGCCACGCATCYGAGACCTTGTGAACATCCCTGGCTACCAGCAGCCGCTGAGGCCACATGGAGTCCTGCAGCCCCACGGCCCACAGGCACAGCCACCGGCCAACCCAACGCAGTGCAGCTGCCAGGCCCCGGAACACAGCCCCCCCTGCAGCCTCCCAGGACGCTGGGTTGCTGGGCTCAGAGATGAGAATTCCCCAAAGTTCAAGGGTCCCCCAGTGGAAAAGTAGTCAGAGCTGGTTTGAACCGGACCCTCAAAAACAAAAGAGAGCTTTGGACCATGCGCTGCTCTAAAGGGGAGAGGACTTTGGGTGGTGAAGTGAGGGCTGTGGAGCCAGAGAGCCTGGTTCAGATCTACCTCTGYCCCTTTGTGCTGTGTGCCTTCAGGCAAGTTACCTTGCCTCTCTGGCCTCAATTGCCTCATCTCTAAACTGGGAGCCACAAGACAAATCTCACAGGACCACCTGAGGATGAAACGACCTTACATCTGCAAAATGGCATGTGGGGGCCTGGCTCTCAGACTGAGAGCAGCGTGGGGATCGAGGCCCTCCCCTCAGGCCCACAACATAAAGGGGAGCAAAACCCCAGTAAAGAAGCTGGGTGCAGTGGCCGTGACCCAGCCACTCAGGAGGCTGCAGCAGGAGATTGCAAGTTCAAGGCCAGGTTGGGAAACTCAGCTAGATCCTGTCTCAAAATAAAAACCAAAACAACTGGGGATGGAGCTCAGGGTGGAGCCCCCTGGGTCCAGCCCTCAGCACTGGGGAAGAAATCAGTCATCAGGACAAATAATACCATTGTCAGGTGATGTTAAGATCAAAATGAACGTAAAAAATCCCCAAGATGGACAAAACATCAACATGTCAAACAGCCCCTGCCCCTGCCGGACCCTGCTCCCCTCCCCAGACCCGGGGTTCCCCTCCCTCAGCCTCAGGCCATCCCCACACCCCGTCCCAAATCAAACAAAGGCAGCTGCCCAGTGACGCTGTGGAGCCCAGGGCCTGCTGTCCACGGCGCTGTCCCCCCGCAGTGGGCGGCTGGAACTGGTCAAGGAGGGTCTGAACGCTCTGGGCTCCCCCGCTGCAGGCCAGCAGACAGAACCCGATGCTGCAGACTGGCCCGCAGCTCGCCACGCCTGCGGCACAGCAGTGAGGCGCCCGGASGCTGCCTTCAGCCAGACGGCGCCTGAGTGTGCCCACGGGGCGGTGGAGCCGCAGCCGGCCCGCAGACTCTCCTGCTGCTGTGTTCTGGAGAGCAGCGCGGTCCCCACGGGACCCTCCACCAGGTTCTGGGCACCCACCARCCCCAAAATCCAGGCTCTGAGCAAATGCCCGGGACACTCGGGCTGCAGTAGTTCAAGTCACCAAAAAAAAAAAAAGCCCCCAGGAAGAGAAGGGAGAAGCAAGGCCACCCGGCCTCGCAGGTGTGCGCCCAATTCCTGAGATGTCCCTGAGCACTCCCGAGCCTGGCCACCAGTGGTCTCTGCCCAGCCCGGCAGGAGAAGAAGGGCCATCTGCGCCCAGATTACAGGACCTCCGGCCCGGCCCGCCCCGGGGCCCACAGCCCCCGGACTCTCAGGCACAGGGACACTTTGTGCAAGCACTTCCAGAACCTTCCAAGAGCAGCGGCTTCCCAGACCCGGGAGGAGGGCGTCCAGCTGGGCAGGAGGGCGAGTCGGTCATTTCCCAAGCAAGATGGGGAGTGAGCCTGCGGGTCCCCGGCTGGTCCCTCGGCCAGGCGCACAGGGAGGAACGGGTAGAGGGGAGGGGGCCGGCACTGGGCCCCAGCTGCAGGAGGCGGAGGTGACAGTGAAGTGATTTTCTCTATTCCAGGCCTCAGCCCCAGGCAGGGCGGGTCCCCAGGGCCAGGTGGCTGGTCTGGGCTGCTCTGGTGCAAGGGCGCGTGGCTGGGGACCCGAGCTGGGCCTGGCGTGCGCAGCTGATGCGGGCGCTGGAGCCGGGCGGCGGGGGCAGTCAGGAGTTCCGGGGCGTGGGGAGGTCGATGACGATGGGCGGGTTCACAGGCTGGTAGTTCACAGTGCACACGGACGCGTTCACGTAGGTGGTCGTCCCATCCGCCATGACACCGTACCCTGGAGGGAGAGCACAGCCATCAGGCCCGTCCCCAGGGCCTCCGCTGTGTGTGGGAGCCTGAGGGAGTGGCCACCTGAGACCCTGGGGCGCAGGCTCCTGTCTGTGAGAGGAAGGCGCTGCCCAGCCGGAGCCTGCCGCGGGGAAGGGACGGCGCCACCATCCAGGCACAGCGCAGGGCCAGTGGGCGAGCACACGTGGCCCCCAGCACCAGGCCACCGTCGCACAGTCCCTTCCCTGCCAGCACCACCACGTCCTCACCACCATCGTCATCGCCTTCGCCACGGTCACCATCAACACCACCATCTTTACATCAAGGTCCTCGCCGTCCCCACCTCTGCGTCACCACCATGGCCACCCTCACCACTGCGTCACCACCATGGCCACCCTCACTTCCCGGTGTCATGACACCGCCACCCTCTGGGCCATCTCCTCTCCCCCACCTCGGCCTGAAGAGCCCCTTGTCTGCAGCTCAGAAGACCACCTGCCTCCTCGTCAGGCTGCCTGTTCCTGGGACCCCCCTTTGGCCCACGGTTGTGCGGAGTGCGCTTTGGGTCCCAGGCAACCCGCGGTCTGGCGGCCCTGCAGTCTGGTCACCCCACTGCACACGAGCCCCCCCTTCCCGGGGTTCTGGGACTCTGCCTCGGGCGGCTGTCACCTAAGMGCGCCTTAAGGCCAGGTGTGGTGGGACCCCTCCTCCTGAGAACTCCCCAGAGACCCTCGGGCTCAGCCCGAGGCCCGTTTGCTCTGAGCTGGAAAATGACCTGAAGGGTCCTGGTCYAGCAGGTCCCCACACACAGCAGCCACCGTGTTTCCTGCAGGGGGGACGGGAGCCTGGCCCAGGCAGGTCAGGTGTCAGAAGGAGCCAAGGGGGGGTGAACTCAGGAGGACGCCGGGGGCTGAGGACAGCGGATGAGTCAGGCACAGGTGGCCAGGACTGGAGGTGAAGTCACCCTCCCGCTCCCCACAGTGTGAAGTGGACGTCCCCACAACCCCAGGAATGTGGCTCCAGCGTCCCAGGACAGGGGCCAGAATGCCATCCCCGCCCCAGAGCCCCTCAGGCAGGCAGCCTGTCCTCGGTCCACATTCACCAAGCACCGACTTCGCGCCAGGCCCTGGGGATGGAGTGACAAGACAGGGCCACTACCTTTAGGACGTCAGAGCCCAGACGTCCCCGCCTCGGGAAAGCCCCGGCCTTCTCCCAAAGGCTTCCCGGACTAGTCTTGGGGCTCAGAGGACGGCACCCCGAGTCCTGGGAGAGCTCGCCCTCAGCCCCCCCACTGTCGACATCACAGGGGTAGCCAGTGGCAGCCAAGGTGTGGACAAGGTTGACCCGGGCACAGTGGCCACTGGCTCCTGCCCTTCAGGCTGAAGAAGTCAGGGAAGGTGGGTGCCCGGGCTGAAGTGGGGGAGGCAGCCCCCTGCAGGACCGTGGGGTCCCGCCCACTGACCTTCATGGATGTGGCCGAAGACGTGCAGCCGCGGCTGGACGCGCCTCTGCACGGTGTTGAGCAGCTCCACGCAGCCCACCCGCTGCATCTTCTTGGGGACCCAGTCCAGGAAGCCTGTGCAGGGAGACACGGGCCGTGACGGCTCTGGGAGACATGGCCTGGACTCCAGCCTGGGGGCCGCTCCTCCTCCTACAGCAGCCCCCCCACCCGCTTCAGCCCAGGGACAGGGACCGCCACACGCTGCCCCGCAAGGCCACGGCCATCCTCCCAGCAGTAGCCTCCTCGTGGGCACCTGGGCACGGTGCTCGGCAAAGGCCAGTACCCCAGACCCTCCCTGCTCAAGTGGCCTCAGGGAGGCGTCTGCCCAGGGCAGAGAGCAGCAGGCTGGGCCGAGGGCGCCGTGGCCGGGGCAGGCGGGGCCTCCGCAGCGCCAGGGCGTGAGGCTCCCACTGCAGAAACTTCCCGAGCAAAACAGCACAGAACCATGACCATGAACTGCTCAGCCACCGCAGCAGCTCACGTGGCCGCGCCCGTGTCTGCTGGCTGCCAGCCTCCCGGAGCCGCCCAGATGGCGGCTGCTTATTATCCTCACACGGCTACACAAACSAAGAATAATTGATTACTCCAAGCGACAATCGGGCTCCTCTCGCCCCTCTGTTTGGGTGGGCAAATGGCCCCTTCTGCAACTGCCAGCCAGGGACGGGGCGCTTCCTCCTGGAGCCAGGCGCTGACTTAGAGATGAAGCAGGCAGAGACCCAGGAGGAGGATGGGAAGGCGGAGAAGAGTCAGGAAATGGGTGGAAAGTAGACCTTGGGGTGACCACCAGGCTCTGCAGCCTACTGGCTGTGTGGTCTTGGACAAGCAAATTAACCTCTCTGTGCCTCTGTTTCATGCAAAAATTGTAAGTGCTGTGCTGGGCACCGGGATCCCACCTGCCTGCAGCGGGGCCCATCTCACCCCCGCCCCCCGTGTGTGCCAGGAGGGGTCTCCAGCTCCTCGGGCCCCTGGCATTTACAGCCGGGACCGGGGTGGGGTCTTTCTCCTGGGAGGCCTGGCACACAGCTTCTGGCATGTGGTGGGGGTGGGTCGCCCAGAGGGCAGGAGGGCAAGAGAGACTGGAGGGAGAAAGGAAGGGGGAGGGGAGGAAGGGACGGAGGGAGGGTCCGAGGCCCTTGACAGAGAGCCTCCCGTGACAGAGGACGCTGGATGTGGAAAGAACTGGCCCTGGGGTCGGGAGGCCCTGGGGACGGGAACCTGGTCACAAGCCCTCAAGCTCCTGCACCCCCAGTCCTGGGCCTCTCCTTCCTCAGAAGATGGGGTCACCGTCTATGGGAGGGTGGCGCCCGGGTGCTGGCGGGCAGTGGCAGCAGGTGTGGGTGGGCACTCAGGCTGTGCTGGCCTTCCACCCAGGACGTCCTCCCTGCCACTCCATCTGCCTCCCCAGACCAGACCCAGCTCTGGCTTCCTCCTCGGGAGCCTCTACCCACAGCCCAGGAGCCCCACCTGCCCTGGCAGCCCTGTGAGATGCAGCACCGCCCAGCACAGAGGCCGCCCGGGGCATGGGCGTGATGGCAGGTTCACAGAGGCGACTGTGGGAGCAGGAGGCTGGTCTGAACCAGCGTGGTAGGAGTTTGAACTCCGTTCTAAGGACTGAGGAGTCACAGAAGGTCACCGAGGTATGGCACAGCGCAGCCGATGATCCCAAGGGCTCTCCCCACTGACAGGAGGGGAGTACACGAGAGGGCCAAGGGTCAGGCCCGGGGCCAGTGAGGCATGGTGGGCACGGAGAGGGAGGGAGGGGAGGGCCAGGGTGGTGGAGGGTCGTGAGTGGAAGGGGCGACACAGATGGACAGGATGTGGGTCCCAGATGGGAAGCCGGGGGCCCAGGAAGTGGTTAGCAGGTGAGAGGCAGCCTCAGCCAGGACAAGGTGGTGGCCGGGGTGGAGAGGAGAGTCATTGGGAGGTGGAATCCACAGCCCTGGGGACACGGGATGGTGGCAGTGAGGGAGCCGCGTCCCGGTTTCTGACGGGGCAGGGGCCTGGATGGGGCGGGCCACGCAGGTCCTGGTCATTCTGTTCTGAGGACTTGGGTCTGGAGGGCCAGGGGCTGAGCGCCCCTTGTCCAGCATGAAACAGGCAGACGGGGGCTCAGGCTCCTGTGTGGGGCAAGGTCCAGGCAGGCACCCGGCAGGCTCAGGAGGTGCCAAGGGGGCCCTGGGGCTATGCCCCAGCAAATGAGACTCAGAAGAGCCCATCCAGGACCCGCCCCAAAGCCCCACCCAACCCCAGTGGGTGGGCTGGAGCTGGCCGCCAGTGTGGGGCCTGCAGATCTTACCCAGTGGCGGTCCATGCGTGATCAGGATGTCAACACCTTCAGGAATGAGGTTCCACTTCTCCAGCAGGGCTTGGCCTCGGGGGAGGTTAAAGCCCCAGCCGTAAAACCAGGGCTGCCTGCAGGAGAAGAGTGGGCAGTTCAGAGAGGGTGGTCACAGGGAAGGGGGCAGGCCACAGGGCAAGAGGCGATGCCACGCGGACGCTGCTCCTTCCCTGCTTCCTCAGCGCCCCCGCCCACAGCCGCGGGGCTGCAGCTCATTGCCAGCTCCAGAGTGGGGCCTCAGGGACCCAGCTGTTCACGTCCCCCTGACCTGTCCCCAGCCCAGACCTAGACCCGTCAACGTAAGTCATCCCAGTTGGCTCAGTGGTGAGCAGTGGCTCAGACTCTTGGAGGGAGTCCCAGACATTTCCTTCAATGATGAGAAAAGCAGATGCTGACATCCCTCTGTATCAACCAATGGCCTTCTAGACTTGGCTCTGTCAGCAGATATCAAGCCACTATTTCATCCTAACCACCACCACCACCACCACCACCACCACAATCATCACCATCACCACCACCACCACCACCACCACCATCACCAACCATCAGCACCATCACCAACCATCACCACCACCACCATTACCACCACCACCACCACCACCATCACCAACCATCAGCACCACCACCACAATCATCACCATCAGCACCATTACCACCACCATCCCCATCACCACCATCACCATCACCACCATCACCATCACCACCACCACCATCACCACCATCCCCACCATCACCACCACCATCCCCATCACCACCATCACCACCACTACCACCACTGCCAATACCATCTCCAACACCAACAGCAACAGTAACCACCAACACCATCCCTATCACACCACCACTGCTGTGGTCTAAAGGTTTGTGTCACATGTTGACTCCCCAGGTAATGGCATTAGGAGGTGGGGCTTGGCAGGTGATCAGGGCATGAGAGAGGAAACTACATGATGGGCTTAGTGCCCCTACAGAAGAACAGGTGAGGGCGTGAGCAGCCATCATCTGGGCCAGAGAGGGCCCTCGGCAGACACGGAATCRTGCAGCACCTTGGTCTTGACTTTCAGACTCTGGAATGGTGAGAAGAAGTATCTGCCGTTCATGAGCTACCTAGTCTATGGAATCCTATTACAGAAGCAGGAAGAGACCGAGACCGCCATCTCCCCATCACCGCCACCCCTGTGGTGGGTAACTTATGTCCCCTCGGTGGTGCTACGAGGACCGTGAACAGGACCTGATTGTCTGCATACACAATCCAGTTAAAAGGAGGCCCTGTTGGACTAGAATGGGCTCTGAATCCAGTGACCGGCGTCCTGAAAAGAGGGCCATGTGGAAACACACACGCAGAGGAGCGCCAGCGACACTGGAGGAGAGAGACTGTAGTGGACACGGGCCAGGAAGGCCAAGGTGGCCGCGGCCACAGGGGGCTGGGAGGTCTGGGGAGGTTGTCCCTCGGAGCCTCCAGGAGGAACGGCCCCCGCTGGTGCTGCTGGACCTCTGGCTCCAGACAGGTGGTGACCACCTGCACACCAGCACAGTCCCCCGCCCCGGCCCCAGGACGGCCAGCCGGCAGCAGGTGGGCCAGGTGGGTCAGTGAAGGCTTGCTCAGCTCACCAGCTCTGCCAGGGAGGCCACCTGTCCCAGGAACTCACGAATCCAGGGTCCACGTACTCCCATGTCACCATGAGGAGCCTGAGGCCCAGGAGAGCCGTGCTGCGGGGTCAGGCCCTGGGTGCAGAGCCACGGCAGGGCTGGGTCCAGCCTTGCCTTCACAGGCCCTTGTGTGCCCAGAGCTGCCACCTAAATCCCTCCCATGGCTCAGGCGTCATCCTGTGGGGTGGCTGACACCCCAGGCTCTTAYGCCAACAACTCTATCCTATTGGCGGCCACTGGGTACACCGCTGGGAACCCTGGGGTTCCGTGGAACACCACTGAGAACGTGGCCCTCCCTCGGCAGGCTCCAGGCTGGAGGACAGGCTCAGGGGGTGGGGGGAGGCACCCAGAGGATCAGACCCAGGCCTGGTGGCCCTGCCCCAGCACTGGGGCCTGCAGTGCCATCTCCTGGGCCCGAGGTTCCGGAGGAAGGTGGCTGACCACGTGGTTACTCAGAGGCCCGGGAGGGAGGTCAGTGAATGTTGAATAAAGGGTGGAGAGAGGACTGGACCAAGCAGCACCCTGTTACAGGCTGTTGTAGGACCTTCCCTGTGGCCCGTGACTGCCACCAGCTCTTCAGAGCTRAATCTAGCCCCCACCTTCCACAGCCCCAAGGACCCTCCAGGGAGGACCCTCAGTAAAACAGATAGAACACACCGGCCACCAGCCTCCCAGACACTACCCCCCTAGGCTCCTGGCCTCTGGGAGGAGCTGTGACTCCCACCTCGTCCCCCACCAGGCCTGACAGGCTGCAGGGAGCCCTGGGCACAGGTGAGGCCAGAAAGAGCCTGGCTCCCCGTCCCACTCCAGGCCTGAGAGGGGGGAAGATRGTGCCCAGGACCCACGAGGCTGTCTGTGCCCGGCCCTGGGATCCCCATCCACAGGCAGAGCCCACCAGCTGAGGGGAGGGGCAGCTGGGGCTGGGGAATGGCCACTGGGGGTCAGCACCAGGGGAGGAGCCTCTCAGACACGCCCACCTAGGCCTGCCCTGTCCACCTGCAGAAACTCCTCAGCTTCTCAGACTCCCCCCAGAGAAGACCACACACACACACACACACACACACACACGCACACACACGCACACATGCACACACACATGCACACACACGCACACGCGCGCACACGTGCACACACACGCACACACACGCACACACACACACATGCACACACACGCGCGCGCATGATTTCATGCACAACTTTAAGTCAGAGAGGCCTGGGTGACGATGGTCCACCTCTTATCCACTGTGTGATTTTGGGCAAGGGGGGGAGAGTTAGGTTGAACCACATCTGTACAATCCCGTCTGAATACCCAGGAGCTCTAGACCTCAATTCCCTCATCTATAAATGAGGATTAAGTCAGTTAATCCATGAAACATGTTAAAATAATGTCTGGGTCACAGTCAGCACTGCAGCTGCCTCATCATCCTCATCCCCCCACCATCCCATCATCATTGCCACCACCACCACCACCACCATCATGACCACCACCACCACCACCATCATTATCACCACCATCACCACCATCTCCATCACCACCATCACCACCACTACCACGGTGACCACGGTCACCACAACAATCATCACCACCACCATCATCACCATCACCACCACCATTACTATCACCACCATCACCACCTTCATCATCACCACCATCACCACCATCACCACCATGACCACAGTCACCACAACAGTCATCACCATCACCATCATCACCATCACCACCACTATTACTATCACCACCATCTCCATCACCATCATTATCACCACCATCACCACCATCATCATCACCACCATCACCACCACTACCACCATGACCACTGTCACCACACAATCATCATCACCTCCACCATCATCACCATCACCACCAC